TTCGTTTCCACTGAAATAGGGAAGAACATATGCCCCTAGACATGTACACCTGGGTATGACACTGAAGCACAAATAACAATAAAGAATTTCATGGATGCACAATCTGAGGCATTATGGATTATGTCCTGTGTTGGTCTCTAAGTGTCATTCTGTTTTAGGAAGTTGAGAGTAATACACACTTCATCTCCCTCAGTTGATATGAGATACCTGTACTTTAACAGTAAGTATATTGAGATTGTTGGTGGAGTCCTACTCTGTCATTTGCATATTTTAGGCATATTTGAACTAAATTAAGAGTTGTGAAGGTGCAAATTGTCATTTATTTATAGTCAAGAGATAATGGACTAGCCAAAAAATGTGCCTGTCTTTCTTTATTTTTAACTGTTTTTATGAAAGCAATCTCATGGTCCTTATACTGAGCAATACTAATTGGTATTTTCTGTTTCATGGAGGTGGAGATGAAGCTAATTATTTTTCACTTAGAAGACATTGGGAGGACACATTTACAAGGAAATATTTGTTTTTTTATACACAGGAAATTCTCTGACATCCTTAGCACATGTTTGGAACATCCATGATATGTGATAGATTCTAACAATTGTTACAATTTTTGCATGTATTATACCCAAAGTGTTAAGCTACATAAAGTAATGGTCACATTGTAGGGGAAGTGATAAAATTGTATGTTCCCTACCAAAAACTTGACATTCTTTAGTTCCCCACTGATGAATGACGATGAAGATATACCTTACCTAGCAAAGACCACCAAGCAGACATGTCTTAAGTTAACTTCCCTGCATGATTTGGATAATCCTGTTGTAGCTTTCTTCAAGTGTCAGCCACCTTCAACCTTGTCAGTATCCAAATATAATTATAATTTTTTGTAATTATTAATGAAATTGGTTATTAGTTTTTGTTGTGAATGTTGAGGATCACTGGATATTGAGGGACAAAGACTGATGTGGTGGTCCTCTCCTAGTCCCTCATTATTGAAGGAACCTTCATCATGGACAACAAAGGATCTTGTATACCAAGTAGTGTGACCTCAGCTCTAAGCTAATATCTGTCAAATTCTTATATCTTATTAAATATAATAGCTGTGTATATCTTTCGTGATGAAAACACACTGAACCTTAAATCAATAATTGCAGGTTGCATCAGAGCCTTCAGAGAATTTGGTATGGACTAGTGCTGCTCGTGAATTGACTGTTAATCTTCCAAAGACAGTTGTGGCACCAAGGGAAAAAATCGACCCTCAACAGCCCACCACAACTGCAAACCTGACCAGACGTCCCACACCAAGAGACTCTATCACCTCAACACAAATGAACAACTCGCTTAACATTCCAACTCCACCAAGGCCCATTAAAAAGAGGAAACGCAAAACTAGCCTTGTATCTCACATTGGCGACCGGTTAATGAAAGCCCTAGCTAATGTGCATAAGAAGTGGAAGAATGTGAAGGAATTAAATGCACCCTTGGATCCCGTAACGGAATCTGTTAAGGGCTTCGTGAGGATTTTGAATGATCGCCATCCACACCTCAAGGCAAAGTTCATCCAAAAGGTTATTCAAGCTCAGGCAGAGATCTCACAAGAATTTCATTGACCCCCCCCTCCACCCCCAAAAAAAAGAGATTTTTCTCCCCCTTTGTGAGTTTGTACATATAAATTACTTAATTTTCTAGCCATAATAGATTTTCTATTTATATCTCTAGTCTTATTGCTCATGTAATATAACTTAAGTGAAATATATTTTGGTATGAATTATATTTTCTTTTCTTTTATGAACTCCCACTGCATGCAAATGAATACCATTTATATAAATTTTCCATAACATTATTCTTGATACAGTATTATACAGTCCAAAGAATTCTTGAATTAAGGAAAAATATTAAAAGCCATTATATATATATATATATATATATATATATATATATATATATATTTATATATATATATGATACATATAAAAGTCATATATATATATACTTATGAATGTACATATATATATATTATATATTGAATATATATGTATATATACATTATACATTATACATATTATATGTTATATGTATATTATATATATAATATATATGTATATATATATATGTATATATATATATATATATATATATATATATATATATATATATATGATATATTATGTATATTATATATTTTATTTACATTCTATATATGTATTATATATATTATATATTATATATATATATTATATATGTTATATATATTATATATTATATATATTATATACATATATATATTTTGTATATTATATGTTATATATTATACATATATGTGTGTGTGCGTGTGTGTGTACATGTGTATATATATACTTATATATATGTATATATATGCATATACATATTTCATATACATATAATATATATAGATATATATGTAATGTATATAGATATATAAAAAGAAAGAAAAAAAAATGTATATATATGTACATATAAAATATATATATAATATTATATATGATATATATAATACATAAATATATATATATATATATATATATATATATATATATATATATATATATAATATATATATGATATATATATGATGTATATATATATATATAATATATGTATAGATATGCATATATATATAGGTATATATATGTATAGATATGCATATTATATATATATATATATATATATATATATATATATATATATATATATATATGACATATATACAATATATATGTGTGTCACTCTCTCTATATATGTACATATATATAAATGCATATATTTATATTTGCATATACTATATATATATATATATATATATATATATATATATATATATATATATATATATATATATATATTGTGTGTGTGAGAGAGAGAGAGAGAGACGCACTTCAGGCGCACAACCACTTTGCTGCCATAACTTTACTGGACGAGGTATTCAGAAAATCACGTTTCTCGGATCTCAATACTGTACTTTCCCATAGTGTTATACGACCTTAGATGTCTAGCACGTTTATTTTGCTTTTAACTATTAACCATTATTAACCATTCCCGGATCTCAACACACTACGTGATAAGCTTAACCACTTAACATTCATCATCGCGTAAGAGAGAATGCACCAACAGTGGTCATAACAAGTATAGCTTAGTTACCCCCTCAACGAAAAAATTGAACTGAGATTACATTTTCTGTGGTAATGCATCACGAGGTATAGAAAACGTAAATTATTCTTTTAGGGGAAACCAATCAAACTAGAGCGGCCAGGCGAACACCTACATATCATAAGAAATCGAGGATTATATCTCAGTCAGCAACAATAATAGTGATAATAGTAATGACAATGATAATCATATTTACAATCAAAAGGATTAGGTGAAGTATAAAAATTATTTGAGGATAACAGGGATATGGATAATGTTCTGAAAAAGTCTAAACTTAAATCAAGAAGAAATTAAATGAAATTCTATCGCATGCAGACGAGTGTCTCTTTCTTTCATTTCCTATACATCTATGAATATACAATTTTTTCTTGATAAATAGCCTACAGTTCTTTTTTTGCTTAACTAAGTTTGTTTTTCTTACTTCTCTCTTTTTCCTCTCTCACTTTTCCTTCTTTTCTGCTCCTCCACTTCTTTTCCTTGCATATTTTCCTTTTTTTCTCACTTCTTCTCATTCTCTCCTTTTCTCCTCTATTTTTAATCCGGCTCCTCTTGATCAATCTTTTTATCTTTTCTTCTTTCTCCTCCTCCGTCAAGGTCATTCTCCCCTTCCTCCACCTTGTTATTCCTAATCTATTTCCTTCCTCCTCCATATTCGTCCTCTTGATCTTTCTTTCTCCATCTTCCTCCTCTTCCTCTTTCTCATATTTTCTATCGTCATCCCTTTGAACACAAGGAATTCACCTTCCCATTTTCAATCACTCTACATCTCTCTCCGTTTTCTATGCTCGTAAAAAAAAAACGTACGCCTTCATAAAAAAAAAAAAAAAAAAAAAATAAATAAAACGAAAGCAGAACGCGTTTCACTTCTGAATGGATTTTACCGACTTTTTCTTCGCTCCCTCACTCTCTCCTTCTCCCCCCCCCTCTCTCTCTCTCTTTCTAACTCATGGAAAGAGTGAATTTTCGGTGGGATGGTGGAAACTGGTGGAAGAAAAATGGTGAAAGGCGATAATGGTGGAAGAAGAGTGGTGGAAGAGGGTGCGGGGTTGGGTGAAAGGGCGATAGTGGAAGAAAAATGGGGGATAGTGGAAGAGGAAATATTGAAAAGGAAACAGTGGAAGGGGAGTGGTGGAAGGGGGAGGGTGGGTATGGGGGAGGTTGAAGGGGAAAGGGGGCAGGGAGCAGGAATAAAAGGGTGTTTGGGGGGGGGGGGGGGGGGGTAGGGGGCGTGTAAATATATATACGTGATTTAATGGATCGTTTAAGCAACCACTACAACATGTTAATGGAAATGTCAAGGAATTTATACATTTTTGGAATAACAGAAAATTGAAAACAAAAAAAAAAAAATTGTCACGAATTTGGGGAGAAGCTACCAAGTAACAGATAATCGTCAGTCTATCTATCAGGACTTTAGAGAGAAACTGTAAAACTGATAAACTAGATAATAAGACGAATTAATATTAGAATCTTGGATCTCCTTTCTATTTTTCCTTAGTTAATTCATTTATTTTGTAAACATTTACAAATACGCGCTCACTCACTCACTCACATACAAACACACACACACACACACACACACACACACACACACACACACACACACACACACACATAAACACACACTCACACACACACACACACAAATACACACACAAAGACACACGCACACATACACACAGGCACACATGCACATACACAAGCACACACATACACATGAAAAACAAAGCACAGATAAGAACAACAAAGTAAATGCAAACACAAAAAACACCCACAAAAATTGCAACAATTATCGTGACAAAACATACGCCCTTTTAGCACTGACGGAACTAACT